GGGGTTCCCTGGGAGACGGGGACCTCCTGGAGGGGCCACCGGGGTTCCACGGGAGACGGGGACCTCCAGGAGGGGCCACCGAGGTTCCATGGGGGACGGGGACCTCCTGGAGGGGCCACCGGGGTTCCACGGGTGACTCACACGTCTCCCTCGGGGGCGTAGGTGGAGCCGGTGATGGAGAACTCGTTGAGGGAGCAGACGTCGCCCTCCACCTTGTCCACGATGAACATCTGTGGGGAGAGGAGAAGGGGTTGGGAGAAGGTGGCCCCGGGGGGGACGTCAGGGGGTTCTTGGGGACGCTGGGGGGACCTGGGGGACGTTGGGGCACCCTTGGGGACATCAGGGTGTCCAGGGGAACGTTGGGGTGTCCAGGGGGGTCCTTGGGGCACCTGATGGGACATGAGAGGTTCCTGGAGGACCTTGGGACACAAGGAGGTCCCAGGGGACCTTGGCCCACCCGAGGGGACACGAGGGGGTCCTGGAGGACCTTGGGACATCCAAGGGGACACAGAGGGTTCCTTGGGGACCACAAGTCACCCAAGGGGACGCGATGGGGCCCTGGAGGACCACGGAGTACCCGAGGGGGTCCCGGAGGACCTTGAGGCACCCAAGGGGACACGATGGGTTCCTGGTGGACCTTAGGACACAAGGAGGTCCCCAGGGGACCTCGGGGCACCCAAGAGGACACGAGGGTGTCCTGGAGGACCTCGGGGCACCCAACGGGACATGATGGGTTCCTGGAGGACCACGGAGTACCCCAGGGAGTCCTGGAGGACCTTGAGGCACCCAAGGGGACACGATGGGTTCCTGGTGGACCTTGGGACGCAAGAAGGTCCCCAGGGGACCTCGGGGCACCCAATGGGACACAAGGAGGTCCCCAGGGGACCTCGGGGCACCCAAGAGGACACGAGGGCGTCCTGGAGGACCTCGGGGCACCCAACGGGACATGATGGGTTCCTGGAGGACCATGGAGTACCCAAGGGGGTCCTGGAGGACCTTGAGGCACCCAAGGGGACACGATGGGTTCCTGGTGGACCTTAGGACACAAGGAGGTCCCCAGGGGACCTCGGGGCACCCAATGGGACCTGGGGGCACCCAAGGGGGTCCTGGAGGACCTCGGGGCACCCAAGGGGACGTGATGGGTTCCTGGAGGAGCCAAGGGGAGATGAGGGGGTCCTGGAGGACCTTGGGGCACGAGGAGGTCCCAGGGGACCTCAGATCACCCAAGGGGGCACGAGGAGGTCCCAGGGGACCCCGGGGCAGCCCGCGGTGGCCCACCCCACCTTGCAGACGGACATCTGGTTGGTGGTGAGGGTGCCGGTCTTGTCGGAGCAGATGACAGAGGTGCAGCCCAGCGTCTCCACCGAGGGCAGGCTCCTGACGATGGCGTTCTTCTTGGCCATGCGCCGCGTCCCCAGCGCCAGGCAGGTGGTGATGACGGCCGGCAACCCTACGGAGAGGTGTCCCCTCAGCCCCACCGAGCGGCCACCAGCCCCACCGAGCGGCCACCAGCCCCACGCGGGAGCAGGCAGAGGTGACAGCTCCGTAAAACATCAAAGAAGGGCTTTATAAGCCCATACGGGGTCAAGAACGGACATTATAAACCCACAGAAGACCAGAGATGGACGTTATAAGCCCGTAGAGGACCAGGGGTGGACCTTATAAGCCCACATGGGGTCAAGGATGGACATTATGAACCCACAGAAGACCAGAGAGGGACATTATAAGCCCATATGGGATCAAAGACGGACGTTCCAAGCTCATATGGGATCTGGGAAGGGCTTCAGAAACCCATCTAAGACCACGAATGGCCTTCGGAACCCATATGAGATCAAGGATGGACGTTATGAGCCCATATGGGATCAACCACGGACATCACGAGTCCGTACGGGCTCAAGGATGGTCACCGTAACCCATAGGAGACCAAGGATGGACGTTACAAGCCCATACGGTGTCAAGAATGGCCACCACAAGCCTGTATGGGGTCAAGGGTGGACGTTAGAAGCCCACGTGGGGTCAAGGATGGTCTTCAGAACCCGTAGGAGACCAAGGATGGCCGTGACGAGCCCATATGTGGTCAAGAATGGCCACCACAAGCCCGTATGGGGCCAAAGGTGGACGTCAGAAGCCCACGTGGGGTCAAGGGTGTCCTTCAGAACCTGTAGGAGATGGAGAACGGCCATGACAAGCCCATATGTGGTCAAGAATGGCCACCACAAGCCCGTATGGGGCCAAAGGTGGACGTCAGAAGCCCACGTGGGGTCAAGGGTGTCCTTCAGAACCTGTAGGAGATGGAGAACGGCCATGACAAGCCCATATGTGGTCAAGAATGGCCACCACAAGCCCGTATGGGGCCAAAGGTGGACGTCAGAAGCCCACGTGGGGTCAAGGGTGTCCTTCAGAACCTGTAGGAGATGGAGAACGGCCATGACAAGCCCATATGTGGTCAAGAATGGCCACCACAAGCCCGTATGGGGCCAAAGGTGGACGTCAGAAGCCCACGTGGGGTCAAGGGTGTCCTTCAGAACCTGTAGGAGATGGAGAACGGCCATGACAAGCCCATATGTGGTCAAGAATGGCCACCACAAGCCCGTATGGGGCCAAAGGTGGACGTCAGAAGCCCACGTGGGGTCAAGGGTGTCCTTCAGAACCTGTAGGAGATGGAGAACGGCCATGACAAGCCCATATGTGGTCAAGAATGGCCACCACAAGCCCGTATGGGGCCAAAGGTGGACGTCAGAAGCCCACGTGGGGTCAAGGGTGTCCTTCAGAACCTGTAGGAGATGGAGAACGGCCATGACAAGCCCATATGTGGTCAAGAATGGCCACCACAAGCCCGTATGGGGCCAAAGGTGGACGTCAGAAGCCCACGTGGGGTCAAGGGTGTCCTTCAGAACCTGTAGGAGATGGAGAACGGCCATGACAAGCCCATATGTGGTCAAGAATGGCCACCACAAGCCCGTATGGGGCCAAAGGTGGACGTCAGAAGCCCACGTGGGGTCAAGGGTGTCCTTCAGAACCTGTAGGAGATGGAGAACGGCCATGACAAGCCCATATGTGGTCAAGAATGGCCACCACAAGCCCGTATGGGGCCAAAGGTGGACGTCAGAAGCCCACGTGGGGTCAAGGGTGTCCTTCAGAACCTGTAGGAGATGGAGAACGGCCATGACAAGCCCATATGTGGTCAAGAATGGCCACCACAAGCCCGTATGGGGCCAAAGGTGGACGTCAGAAGCCCACGTGGGGTCAAGGGTGTCCTTCAGAACCTGTAGGAGATGGAGAACGGCCATGACAAGCCCATATGTGGTCAAGAATGGCCACCACAAGCCCGTATGGGGCCAAAGGTGGACGTCAGAAGCCCACGTGGGGTCAAGGGTGTCCTTCAGAACCTGTAGGAGATGGAGAACGGCCATGACAAGCCCATATGTGGTCAAGAATGGCCACCACAAGCCCGTATGGGGCCAAAGGTGGACGTCAGAAGCCCACGTGGGGTCAAGGGTGTCCTTCAGAACCTGTAGGAGATGGAGAACGGCCATGACAAGCCCATATGTGGTCAAGAATGGCCACCACAAGCCCGTATGGGGCCAAAGGTGGACGTCAGAAGCCCACGTGGGGTCAAGGGTGTCCTTCAGAACCTGTAGGAGATGGAGAACGGCCATGACAAGCCCATATGTGGTCAAGAATGGCCACCACAAGCCCGTATGGGGCCAAAGGTGGACGTCAGAAGCCCACGTGGGGTCAAGGGTGTCCTTCAGAACCTGTAGGAGATGGAGAACGGCCATGACAAGCCCATATGTGGTCAAGAATGGCCACCACAAGCCCGTATGGGGCCAAAGGTGGACGTCAGAAGCCCACGTGGGGTCAAGGGTGTCCTTCAGAACCTGTAGGAGATGGAGAACGGCCATGACAAGCCCATATGTGGTCAAGAATGGCCACCACAAGCCCGTATGGGGCCAAAGGTGGACGTCAGAAGCCCACGTGGGGTCAAGGGTGTCCTTCAGAACCTGTAGGAGATGGAGAACGGCCATGACAAGCCCATATGTGGTCAAGAATGGCCACCACAAGCCCGTATGGGGCCAAAGGTGGACGTCAGAAGCCCACGTGGGGTCAAGGGTGTCCTTCAGAACCCACAGGAGACGGAGGACGGCCGTGACGAGCCCGCGGGGGGAGAAGGACGGCCATCCCGAGCCCGTACGGGGCGGCAGAAGGCCACGGTGACCCCGCGGAGGACGGAGGAGGCTCCGGACCTTCGGGGATGGCGGCCACGGCCAAGGCGACGGCGATCTTGAAGTAGTAGATGGCGCCGCGGATCCAGGAGCCGCCGTGGACGGGGTCGTTGAAGTGGCCGATGTTGATGAGCCACACGGCCACGCAGATGAGGGAGATGACCTTGGAGAGCTGCTCTCCAAACTCGTCCAACTTCTGCTGCAGCGGCGTCTTGTCCTGCTCGGTGGCCGCCATCTCGTCCCGGATCTTCCCGATCTCCGTGTTCACCCCCGTGGCCACCACGATGCCCACGGCTTTGCCCGCCCCGATGTTGGTGCCCTGAGAGGGGACACGGGTGGTGGTGGTGGGGAGGGGGTTATGGGGACATCTGGGGACAAGGGGTGGGGTGGGATGTGGGGCGGGACCCGGGGAAGGTGCGGTGGGACGCGGTGGGGACGTGGAGGTGGGGCG